TCACTTCAGCTCTTGGCTCCTCAAGATAACGGCGAGTTCAGTGCCATCTTAGAGAAGCTCCAGGGGCAGGGCTGACTTTTCTCCTAGAGGAGGAGCAACGTGGGGATCTGAGGGATAGGAGGGAGACTTCCCCCCAGAGTGGTGGTCCTGCTGGGGGCTCAGATCCAGGGACCCAAAAGGGGGGCTGTGTAGGAGGTTCCACATTGGAGGGGCTCTCTCTCGCAGCTGTCCGAGTTGGTCCTGGCTGTGGCGTCCAGACAGCTTGGGGGATAAAGATCCTGTCTAACCACCTCATCTACCACTCAGGTTCTTTCTGAAGGAGGGATTTCTTCAGTTAACCATGGTCAGTGAGGTTTCTTACCGCAGTAACTTGAGTCCAGGTTGAAGGGGAGACAGATCTGTGGTGAATCTCTGATTTGGGTAGCACACTGAGTGTGGAACCCCACAGGACTCCTTAGGGACGCAGCTTGGGTGTGAAAAAACCCCTGGGGCTGAGCTAGTGACCTCCATGTGTGGGTGCAGCAGGGCCCTGGATGGTGCCAGTTGATCTGGACAGCCTGTTGATGTTTTTCTACTTCTACCCTTTGGCCGGGCCCCACTGAGCCCCATCGAGGTGCCTGAGGAGGGGGCCAGTGAGGTCCCCTGGGCCAAAGGGACTCTAGAGGCATCTCTGCAGGAAGCACACCATGCGTTCCCTCCATGTCCCATCATAGTGCCACAATCTGTGTCCCGTAACTTCTCAGGGTCAAAGACAAAGGCAAGGGTTGCTGAATTTTCTCTTTAATGGCCACTGGAAGAATCTGGTTCAGTTTTTCCCAACTCTCTTCCCACTCGGATTCGGGGACTCTGGGTTTTCGGAAGGCACAAGGACTATGACTTTGTACCACTAACTTGTGGTTCAAACCTGGGTGTGTTTCTGGCATCTCCCTAACCCAGATCAGCAATGGCTACCCTGCTGCTCCGAGGCCAGCAGAAGACTGGAAGCAGAGGTGAGGGATGCAGGCCACACTGGAATGGGAAGTCTTTCCCCACTGGATGTGCCTGTGTCTGGTGGGTTTTGGGGCTTCCCAGACTACGTCTCTGGGAGAGGCCTGTTTGGGGTAGTACACTGAGAGACCCTGGCCTCTTCTGCTGGAAGACTGTGCAAGTCTTGGGGTTTCTTGAGCTGGTGATTCCTCTGCCATCCTGCTGTCTCTGTTCATCTCAGGCAGCATGGGGTCCACTTTTGTCCCCAAACCTAATGTTTTAATCCAAATGCAAGTTGGTTCTGCATTTTTACTGGAGGGTAATCAATTTTTAAAATTCACACACATGTAATCAAAATGCAATACTATAAACTTCTACTGGTGAGACTCCTGAACTCGGTCTGTTTTCTTCTTAGTAAAATTCAGCACCTTCCTTCTCTTCATTCTTTGTACCACTGTGGCTTTAAACGGTCTTCAAGTTATTCCTCCTCATCACCTCCATTGTTTTATCTTCACCCCCTTAACATCCACAGAAACAGACTGGAGTTCTTGAATGTTTTAGCTTCAACTTCTAGATGTGCCCACTGTGCTTTGTTAATGCTACCACAGTTGTGCTGAATGCAGCCTGTTTCCCAGGCAGAGATCCTGCCACTCCCAATGGGAAGATAAAATGCAGGGGTCCTCTTTGCCAGTTTCCTGGGAACATCAAGGGACAGGTGACCAGCTTGGAACTCTTTGATGACTTGGGAGGAGGAAGATGGTCTGGCTGATCTGTGGTGAAAAGGTCCTTTGCACAAGGCTGCAAGAAAGTGAAGGGCAGCAACGCTGGTGTTTAAGGACCGAGAGGAGTGAGTACTAGGGTGTTTTGTTTGAGATGGGGGTCTCACCCTGGTCACCTAAGCTGGAGTGCAGTGGCACGATCTTGGCTCACTGATACGTCTGCCTTTCAGACTCAAGTGATCCTCCCACCTTAGCCTCTCTAGCTGGGACCACAGGCACGCACCATCACGCCTGGCTAATTTTTTTTTTTTTGTATTTTTGGTAGAGTTTCATCACGTTGCTTAGGATGGTCTGAAACTCCTGAGCTCAAGTGATCCACCTGCCTCGGCCTCCTAAAGTGCTGCGATTACAGTGTGAGCCTCACCTAGGGTGTTTGATTTTTAAGTGACACATGCACATGGTAAACATTAAAACCGTCTAAAAGGCTGGACCATGAAAAGCAAGGCTCCCTTCTCCCACCCAATCCCTGAATTCTCCCTGGAGAGTATCCCTCCTAAGTGAACACACTTCTACTCTGTTCCCTTTCTGCCTGTTAACTACTTAGTGTAGCTTAAGTGTAGTGGAACCTGCTTCAGAATAACCCATATGGGTCTTCTTTATTCTCATGAACCACAGAGCATTTCATGTGTTGATATATTGTCTCCTATTTATGGACATTTGGGGTTGTTTCCATTTTTTTTGTTGTTGTTTTGAGACGGACTCTTGCTCTGTCACCCAGTCTGGAGTGCTGTGGCATGATCTCGGCTCATTGCAACCTTCACCTCCTGGGTTCAAGCAATTCTCCCCCATCAGCCTCCTGAGTAGCTGGGACTACAGGTACATGCCACCATGCCCAGCTAATTTTTGTATTTTTTGGTAAAGACGGTTTCACTACATTGGCCACGCTGGTCTCAAACTCCTGAACTCAAGTGATTCACCCACCTTGGCCTCCCAGTGCTGGGATTACAGGCATGAGCCACTGCACCCGGCCAGTCACCATTTTCATACAGTAACTTGCAATGCACCAGGCCTTACCAGGGCCACTGATGGGTTCAGCAGACATTTCTTTCTTCAAGCTGGCAAGGCCTCAGATAAGTCACTGCCCATTTTGGCTCCCCGTTCCTCCTCTAAAATAAGGGAGTTGGGTGATGGCAGAGGCTTTCCAGCTTATTCAGCCTCAGGGCCTGTTACCTACCTAAAATTTATCCAGAAGCAAGCCCATATGGAAAGCCAGGAGTCCTGGAACTGCTCTGGTTGAAGCTGGGATGGGGGCCCAAAGCTCCCTGCTGTTCTTGACCCCCACATCTTTGCTTCCAAGATTTCACTGGCGCCTACCTGCTACCTGTAGGCCTTCAGCTGCTTACTCTTGTCCTATGTGGGGGTAAAGTGCTTACTCAGCAGCCATCCTCATGGCCTAACCATTTGGCCAGTTTCAGTGTCCCTGAAGGATGGAGGAGGGCTGGGCTTCCATGGAGCCTGAACCACAGGTGCCTTCAGCACTTCCTGGGGCTCTGGACATGTCAGCAGCTGCCCACCAAGGCCTGGAAGGTAAGGGGGTTCATACCACTAGGGCAAACTTGGATCAATAAGAAGGGAAGGATGCGACAGACCTTATCCCTCCTCTTTTCTTGTCCCCTCTGGATTCTACTGAGATGCTTCCAGGGATTCTCCAAGGCCCCTTCCTGCCCCAGTAACTGCAGGTTTCTGGGGAAGTGGTGGCCAGCTCTAATCCCCTGTTTTTTTTTTTTTTTCTTTCCCTTTTTAGACAGTCTTGCTCTGTCACCCAGGCTGGAGTGCAGTAGCGCCATCTCGCCTCACTGCAACCTCCGCCTCCAGGGTTTAAGCAATTCTCCTGCCTCAGACTCTCTAGTAGCTGGAATTAACAGGTGCGTGCTACCACACCTGGCTAATTTTCGTATTTTTAGTAGAGACAGGGTTTCGCCATGTTGGCCAGGCTGGTCTTGAACTCCTGGTCTTGAGATCCATCTGCCTCAGCCTCCCAAAGGGCTGGGAGCCACAGCGCCCAGCCTAACCCCCTACTTTACTATCCCTCCCCACATCATTTCTTTCCTTATTGAAAGCTCTGGGTCCTCCCCAATGCTCCACCATGTAAACCAATCTGTCCCGCTGGGTTTGGGGCACCGCAGTGGGCAGGGGGGAACCTGTTTGTCAGAAGGTTCAGAGTTTTTGAGTTCCTCATGTTTGTTTGTTTGTTTGAGACGGAGTCTCGCTCTGTCGCCCAGGCT